CTCGCCCCCCCCCCCCTCTAAAGCGTATTTCTATGACTTCTTTAAACTTCTTTTCCGATTTACTTTCGGAAACTGAAGTAAATATCCTTGTCGCGGAGAATAATTTCGTTCAACGAAGAATAAGTGCATGTTATAGATGCTTCTTATAGGTTTCAACTGCGTTATAGTATATAACGATTGATAATCGAAAAGAATATTAGTAGAAATACTAATCTGGAACTGCAAATTGTAGCGGTAAAGAAGCTATTCCGAGCATTCGTTCGTGATATCATTTCGGTCAAAAGCAGATCGAGTCCGTAATCAATAATTTTTGACGCTGTTGTGATGACGAATCCACAAGATGTGGATGATCAATCGCGCTAAATGGATACATATCCTCTCACACGTATGAAAGTAAAGCAAACGTGATCTCACATATCGAGAAAATCGTTTAACTAGTATTGAACGTCTTTTTTTGATTCTCATAATAGTAATATAACATTTAAGAAAGTCTAATCGAGTGTAACTTCAAGCGTACTGCCTTAAATTGTTTCACATATTACGATTATAAATATAACAGATACGTGAGCGCTTTGAAAGAATACGTCATACATCATTTCCTTTAAAGACGCGTGGAGAGGCCGTCCTTCTTCTTTTCTTTTTTTCTTCTCTGATTTCGCGACCGCCGATCGCGGATACGTAACGTGATAATAGATAGACTTCGCAGGCATTGAATTTCAAACGCGGTGTGGACGCTAAGGTTCCACACTTGACGTTACTACATTCCCATTAAACAATTAAAAGTTGTTGCGTTATAATATTTATCGTTGACCTATGTTGTTATCATTAGCGTTTACAATTCATGTTATATGCGAAAAAATACTAGATGTATTCTGTAATCAGCGGTACTCAAGTCCGTATAGCATCGTATTTTAAAAAGGAGAGGAAAGAGGCAAATTTCCGATGTCACAAATTGCGCTCGACGAAATTTCACCCTTTGATGTCAGCGAATTTCATTCAACGACACATATAGACAACAGACTATATATAAGAAACTACAAAAAATTGTAAGATGAATTTTGAGTTTGTTATTTTTTCAAACAGTTAATTTGTCAGTAGTCTTTGAGTTATGACTAGAGATGGAAAATTATCGTCAGATTAAAAAATTATTAACACTACGGTAAAATTACGGTAATATTGTAATTTATCAGTAGTTTTGGTGAAATTGGTTTTTTATAGTTTCATGCACAAATAGGTGAAATTGGTTTTTTATAGTTTCATGCACAAATAGGTATACCTATTACTAAACCATTTTTATATAATTGTCTAAACAGAAAAAATAAGTATCAGTACTATTAGCTCATTTTATTTTTTTTGTACATTTGAGCTAGAATAAAGATAGAATGACGCTTTAGTGTTGACAGCTTCCACTCGCTCCTATATACATATACTCTCCTTTTTTGTCATCTTTTTGTTCCATTCAGTATGTATCTATATCTCCTATCAACTCAATTAAACTCTTTCCTCCATTAGTTATTAATTTGTTTTTACTACTGCTTCTCAATTGTCCTATCTTTCATTTATTCCTCCCCTCCCATCTCATCCTCCTTCTTTTCCCCTATTCTCATATTAAAATCTCCTCCAATTAACACATAGTCCTCTCTAATTTTTTTACCGTTTTCTTTATCTCTTTTCTTCAATTTCTTTCCATTCCCCTGTGTTATATACTAAGATGATAACCAATATTTGTTATTTTCTTTTATTATTACACACTTATTTTCATATCTCACTTTCACAAGAGACCTTATCCCCTTCCCATCTCTTACTTTATTTGTTTTTTTTTTTCTAAATATCTTGGTCCTAATATAATATCTTGGTCTAATATTCCCTCCTTATTATCTTTTTATACATTTTGTTATACCTTGCCTCTCTTATTTTGCTTTCCTCTATTTGTCCCTGTACATATTTTTCTCTTTTCCTTAATTCCTTTCCTAAACTTCCTTCCTCATTTTTTTCTTTCTTCTATTGCGTTTAAACCTCACCTATTATAAAACATTTTCCTCTCTACCCTATACTGATTTTTCCATCCTCTTTTTTCTTTTTCTCTATAACATTTCTTTACCTATTTTAATTCTTCCATACCTTATTTTCAACTCGAAATTTCTTTCCCTCAATCCCCATCTTATCTTTAATTTTTCGATCTCTAATTCTTTCATTATTAAATACCTCAGAGTGCAAAAATCCAATTTAAATACCCATCTTATATAATCTAACATTATTTCCTCTAATGTCCCTTTTTCCTCCCATCTCCAGATCTTCACTCCATATTCTATTACACTTCTCACAATATCTAAACAACATCCACTTTTTACTGAAATTATCTTTACAAATCCTTTCTCTTAGCCTCCTTTTTTCTTTATATATTTTTATATCTCTGATTAATTCCTTTTAAGTTTTTTAATACTTCCTTCTTCTATTCTTTTCTTTCTATTTTTTTGCTTCTTTTTTAGTAGCTTTTTCCCCATTTCTTTATTTCTAAATAATTTCCTTTATTCTTCTTCCCTCACTTCTATTTTATGAATATTTTCTTTTTAGCGCTGATAGTGTAACTTTTTATATATTTTTATTTATTATTATCGTATAATGTATAATTATATACATAATAATACAATTATTTTAGATTTTTGTTTAGAGTTAGTTATTTTAGAATTATAGAAAGTCTTTAGAAACGAATAAAGAAATATTTGAAACAACAGTGATAAAAGAAAGATTTGAATAATACTAAGGTGCAGGAGATGCTTAGTTGGAAAGAGATAATGCTATTCTTTCTATTGGAGTTGCAATATTACATATTTAAACAAAGTAATTTATCATTTTTAATATGATGTTAAATTTTCCGCTTTTCTTTTCTACTCTCTATAAAAATTATAAGTTGTGACACATGTTACATTTTTTTTAAATTCTAATAAAAAAGTATTTTTTAATTTTCTCTTTAGTTTCTACGTACATAATTTTCTAATTAATATATCTTATATATAATATCAGAACATTTCATGAAAAATATAAATTAAATAAAGTGTTAACTAAAGTTTTTATTCATTTAGAGGTGCCCTCTTTAAGTTTTACATAAAAATTCTTTCATTTCTGTAATTTTTTTAAAAATTATCATTTTACTGATCATTCCAAAATTACCAGTAATTTTCCGGAAAAATTACCGTCATTTTTATCTCTAGTTAAGATATTCTCCAGACAGCACAAATTACTAAAAGATATCTTAGAGATATTTAAAAGATCTCTAAAATAAGACGATAAATACGACATCTTTTAATTTTGTGCTGCTTGGGTCTTTTTTATAATGTTTATCATGGGTCCTATTTCATGAAGCTACGATACTTATAGTATTGGCCGATTATTGTAGATGAAAAGAGGATGATCGGCATATTAATATTTTATTAAACATGTCAATTAGATCGGTGAGTAAGATAAAAGTACCAATGCTCGAACACGTACTTAATCCTAGACATTCTTATTGTTTTTGTTTTTAAATATGCATATTTTAACTTTTAACATAAATATACACACAAGATGTTTTAATAAAGGTGAACTATCTTCTAGGGGCGTATAGATCAGAACAAAATAAGTTTGTATAAAATATTTTCTTAAAACGCACTCCTGCTAATATATTTACCTCCAAAAGTCAGGACTAACAAGCATTTTCTCAAAATAACTTTTATATTGCTTAGTAAAGTTTGATAATTTTTGCATCATTTTTATAAACTATAACTAAGCTAAAATTAGGTTAGTGTAATATATTTTTTTATATTATATCAGAGAGCTGGACGGCAAATTATCTCTAAGTTTTTTAATCCCCTAATTTCGAAGTGAGTTTTTATTACGAAACACTTTCATAAAATCTTCTTAAAACCTCTTTCTAAAGAAAAGATATTATTTGATTTTTAAAAAGCAAATTGTTTTGCTTAAGAAAAACACACTTAAACGGTAAAAGGTAAAATTCAGGAGTGATTTTCCCTTTATATTAAATTAACTTAACATCTTACGGTTAGTATAAAAGTGATATAAAGATTATAAAAACCTGCTAAACAATATAAAATTTATTTCGAGAAAATGCTTTTCAAATCCTATTTTTGAATGCAAATATCTCAGCAGGCGTTGTAAGGAAAAATTTTATATGAACTTATAGAGTTATTTTTATCTAATTTATATGCCTTATAAGAGAGATTGATCATCTTAATTAAAAAAAAAAATGTATATATATATATATATATATATATATATATGATATATATTGGATATATATTGGATATATATTCTATGTTGAAAGTATAATTAATAAAGTTAAATAATTCGTATTTAAAGTCTGAAATATTAAAAATACCCAAAATTAGAGGTATGTGTTTGAGAATTGATGCTTTTACTTTAGTCGAAAACTTTTTGATTTTTATTACAATTTGCCAT